AGTAATAGCCTACTTAAGGGACTCAAATGTAGACTACTACTAATTACTCTATTACTAAGGAACATCTTTACTGGTGAGATTGTAAAGGGGCTGGACAATAGTACTAAAGTCTTAAATAAAGTATTAGTAGTAGTTTACAAACCTAAGAAACACTTAAACCTGTTTTAGGTTCTAAGGTTGTGACCAGTTCTAAACTATAGTTACCTTTACTAGATTCATACAGACCTCTCCTCTACTAATTATGAAGCTCAGATAATCTACTAACTCTTACATAAAAGAATACTTTACTTCTTAGAGAAATAGTTTATTATTTTAGAGCTACTATAGAACTACTTAAATTAGTTAGTAATAATACTCAACTGTCTGAGTAAAGATTAGAATATTGTCTAGATACACACTAACATACTCTAAGTTAATTAGATCTACAAGGATGTGATTCATAAATGACTAGAATGTTGTAAGTAAGTTAGTTAGTCTGAAGAACATTATAGTTAGTTTGTACAATCTGTAATTAGTTTAGAATACAGTCTTCTACTCATCTCTGTCTTAGATTCAAATATTATTGTATTTCTATCAAATGTCCAACTTAGTAAAAACTCTAAATGTATGTGTCTTATTAATAAGCTTCTGAATCAGAGAGAGTAGGTACTTGTTTTTAATAGTACCTTTATTAAAACAACAATAATTCTAGACTAGACAGAGCTTCCTATCTTTCTTTTTGACAAAGAAGAAAGAGAAGGCTATAAAGGACTTTAAGGGTCAGATCCAGCTGTTCTAAAGATTTTCCTGAAGGAACTCATTAAGCACCTCCTACTTGTCTCTGTTAAGTAGGTAGATCTTACAATTCTTAGGTTAGAAACCCTTAATTAATTTAATTGTATAGTTCTAGAGGTGACATTTAGGAAGCTAGTCAAATTCCTCTTTACTAAAGACTTTAGGGAACTCTTAGACAAAATCTGGCAGGCTGAGTCTATATACATTCTAAAGTAGAGTCATTCTAAGAGGGTTCTAGACTAGTTCTGTCTTAGACATTCTTTAGATTAACTCTGTTCTATCTTAACTAGAATATATGTCCACATATTTACCCTAGTTAAAGAAGAACAACTGGTCACTTTCATTAGAACTGTTAGTAACATTAGAAGTGTTTGTATCTACTTAAAACAGTAGTGTAAAATAACTGTAAGAATTAGAACACTAATTAAACACAAGTGTTTACTCTAACTAGTTAATAGTAGGGTTGTAAGTCTTAAGCTATTTGAATCTAATAAAAATGTCTGTCTTTCTAAGGTTAGTAACTTCAAACTTAATACTTTCCTTATAATCCTGAATAGTTATTCATAGTTGAATAAACTCAGTAATCTAACTATTCTAGTTTAGAGTTCTGTCTATATTATATACTAGGATTAGAAGTAGAATGTGTTAAGTAGGAAGGTAGTGTTTCTATACAAAGGTCTTATTAATACACAAACTAGTGTATCTACTATTTACTAGAACTATTATTCAGATCTAGAAGGACCCTAAGAAGAGAGCTAAGAGGACAGGAACCTAGAGCTAGTGTTTAGAACATTCTCTAATAAATTACTACTTGTTCTGAAGGAAACATACAGCTTGTACAGTCTTATTGTCTAAGAGAGTAAGTATATGTACTAACATTTCCTTATTAACCTCTCTCTTTCAACAAGGACAGACTCATGTTCTCAACTGTGAACTTAGCTGAGACTATCCTTACTTAATACTATAAACAAACTACTAAGTAGTAAACAGGGCTAGATAGTGTTCTGAATGTTCTAAGTTCTTAAAACACAGAAGTAGTAGGTTGAATTGTATGAATTTAGACTTAGATAAAGTATAAAGAGAAGAATCAAAAGAATTAGAAGAAATAAGAGAACTATCTACTTTTGTTTTTGACTTTTCCCTTTTTAATAAATAATTTTGTTAATTTACTTTTTCTACTTTTTCTACTTTTTCTACTTTTTCTACTTTTCTTACTTTATTTACTTTTAATCCTATAGTGTCTATTAAGTCAAAAGTGACTGTTAAAAAATTTAAGTCATAGCTTTTTAGTGTTACATTTACTATTAGACCTCTATAAAATCCTAGAGTATGTAGTCAGAGTCTGAGAGTTCTAAAGTAACTTCCAGATTTGTAAAAAAGGCTTCTTACTACAAATTCTACTTGTTACTTGTTATTACTCTAATAACCTGACAGATATACTGTTGTTTCTATAGATAGTCCTTAATTTGGTGCCCTGACTTTCTGTAAGTAAAGTATACTCCTTACTTTTAGACTTTTCTAATATTTATTAGAATGGATTGATTACAAATTACAGGCAGATTAATCTAAGGGCTTAGAACTGTTAGAGTTAAATGTATGTATAAACATTCTATACAGACTTAATATATTCAAGCTATAGCTTAGTTGAAGGAAATAGTGTGTGTCTTCTAATTAGTGTAAGTAATCAGTTTTAGCATTATTCTAAGAATCTTATTAACTAGTTCTAGGTAAAGAGCTTTTTCAAGTATTCTAATAAAAACATTATTAAACCTAAGTACAAATCCTACCTTCTAGGCCAGGATATTAAACTCCTGAAAGAAAGTATTAGTAGAATGTTTACTCTATTACAGAGACACAAGCTTGTTCTACACATTGTACTTCTTATTCAGATTAATAAAGGAAGTACAGAGCTGTCTCATGAATTCTGAATACAACTCATTGTTCTAAAGTTGGATCAGGCTTCTAATCTAATGTCCTTTAATCCAGTTCTAGGCTCAGGTAGCTATGTTGTCTTCCTTTATAAAGGAGAGGACAAATAAGACACAATTAAGATCTAAGGATAGATCAGTTAAAGTAGTAGCTACATATAGTTCAACTTAGTACTAGAAGTCCTTAAAGTGCTACCTATTAAAGTCTGAAGGGTAGACTATATGTACTTTCTTTCTAGAACAGGTTGTGACTTCTAGAACAACTAGAACAGGTTCTGAGAGAGTTAGAGACACATAGTTAGTAAAGGTCTCTTAAATAAAGGTCTACACATATTAAGCTAGGTCTACTCATAACTACTAAGGTAAACAAAACATAAACTCAACTAACTGTATAATACACATAATCTACCCTGAACTGTCTAAATTAGACACAAACTATAATAAGGAAACTTGTTCAACCACAGAGCTGAAATCCACAAAGTAGCACTATAGAATTGTTAGAATTATACTTTTCTACAGAATAATGTAACAGATTTTCAAAAAAATAAAAAATGACTAAGTTATTTCTAAAAGACTATTTTTTGCTCTAAATGACCTAATTGTTATTTTGCCACACACAAAAAAAAAATTCTACAAATTCTTGTCAAATTTCACCACCCTTAGCTACAACATTATGACAAATACCTCCCATATACGGAAATTACATAATATTATTAATACATCCTATAATTGTCTCAACAGAAAGTAGGCTTAGTGAGCTAGTAAGAGGTACTCATATTATATATACTGTTACAGAAAACCTGTAGATAAGATGTAAATGTATATTTAACAAAAAAAAAACTGATAATATTTTTTTTTGCTTTGCCCTCTCATAAATTTCGCTGCTAGGGTCCTTCCTAATTAGTTAAGCGAGTCCGTGACACATTACTGTCACAGCTTGTCAAGTTTATCTTTTGTCTACCTTAATCTGGTAGGACAGTAAGGGTGACAGTTAGTGTAGGAGGGTTTATGTTTATACTACAAAGGAATCAACACTAAACTAAAAGGGGTAATAAATAAAAGAAGAGTGGTAAAAGTTTAAAAGGGTATAGAAAGTTTAAAATTTAAAAATGTAAAAGGGTTAGGACAAAGAAAAGAGATTAACACAACAGTGAGTACTAATGCCTGAAACATAAGAGAGTTGTAGGGTAGTAATGAATAGTCTTAATCTGATGTTAGTAACAGTATAGAGGGGACCTAAAGGCTTAGTAAGGGGACCCAGGCTACAACTATTCTACACAACAGAAATACAGAATGTAAGTACTAGAACATAGTTGGAACTTGTAGAACAGACATAGAGAGAGAGTGAGACAAAAGTAGAGTATATAGAGTAAGCCTAAGAGTACAGGACTACCTGGAGTAGACAAGATTAAGACTACAGGACTAGTCTGATCTTGTATGCCTATATATACTAAACTACACAAGAGTACTCAGGGAGTATGAGCTACTAAGAATGAAAGAAAGGAAGGTTAAAGATAAAGGTACAAAGAATGAAGGGATGGACAAAGGGTAAGAGATTATAGAATGAACAAAGAATGAAGGGGTGGTTAAAGGAACAGAATGATAAAGTAAGGAGGGGTAGTAGTAAGAGTCAGTATGTATATAGTCTATAGACAGTACTCCTAAGGGACAGAAGTCCTGAGTTCCAGTACAGAAGGGTGCAGAACCCTTGGAACTGAAGGTGCAAGAGTAGAGAACTGTAACAAATACAATCATTCAATGTATTTTTTTAATAAAAAAAATACTTTGCTTGTATTACTTGTTATTGCTAGGACCTAATATAATAGCTTGAAAAAGTGCAATTATTACTACATCAGCAATACATTGATGCAGTAAAGTGGAAAGTTAGATGAATCTAACATATGTTTACTGATATAGATAGGTGAACACTTGAAACAATCAAATGGTAGAATTGCCACAATGAGATAATCCCATTTGGTTAGACATCAAGTATGTTGGCCTCTGTACCAATTACCCAAACTATAACAAGAAATCCGTTGCTTTTGCAACATATAATTCATCATAAGTATGACAAATGTATTGCAAAACATATTTTATTGTCCAATCAGAGACTTGCTTCAGAACATGTTTTAGCATGTGGCATGGTACTTTGCATATGATATTATGATCTGTCTGTTCTGTACGAATCTGTGGGGCATAAATGACTGACCATTCTTACGAATCGAAACAACCCATCACCATTGAAATATTCCTACATACGATTCAGTCTAATACAAACTCGACACACGCCCATTTGTTATGAGGGTTACCAAAGACACAACACTGGAAGAAGATGAGCAAAACTGGGTGTTAGTTCCCGCCAGAAACGGTCTTCCAGAGTATTATGAATACACGCAGCCTGTTGAAAAGGGCTCTCTCGATGACCGCGAATACCGCATTATTCGTCTAAAGAATCGACTTGAGGCAACAATCGTTAGCGACAAACACGCGGATAAGTCCGGCGCTTGCATGGATGTTTCGACCGGATATTTCCATGATCCGGTAAGTAATGTTGCCCTCACCTCTTCTTGCCGCTCTTGGTCCGTCCTTCGACGCAACGCACAGAAGCTATGTGCTTGTTACATCGAAAGCTATGCGATGGAGCGGGTGGACTGCTAGGATAAATCGTCTAAATATCGGTGTTGTTGGCAATGTTACTCACCAGACTACAGGAAGGGATGCCTGGCACTGCCCATTATTGTGAGCACTTGATGTTTCTGGTAAGCTAAACTCTCAAATATGAAGATGGACCTGTAAGCGTTGACTTCCGCGGCTCTGATTACAGGGTTCGGAAAAACATGAACAAGAAAACGGGTATAAGGAGGTACAGTTAATCCATTCAAATATTAATTCTAGCGATCCTTACATGCCTCTCGTCAATAACAGTTTCTTAGCTTGCACAGCGGATCTAGTAATGCATATACTGGAGGTTCTGACACCGTTTTCTTCTTTGATGTTGCTTCAGATGCACTCGATGGCGCACTCGAACTCTTTTCTGAATTCTTCCACTGTCCGCTCTTTCACGAAGACTCGGCACTGCGCGAAGTTGAGGCGGTTGATTCTGAATACACGAAGGATATGCAAGATGATACCTGGAGGCTAGAGTATCTTGACAGGTCACTTGCACGTTCAGGGCATCCATTACGAAAATTCAACCATGGCACTAAAGCTACATTAATTGGGAAGTATCTCGTATCGGAGACATCGCATTCACAGCATAAGTCGGATAATGACAAGCGTGACCACAGATCATCGGGTAGAAACCCTCGCAGTGAGAGTCATGATCATAGTAGAGCTTCAAGCACAAGCTCTATTCGGAGCTCAAGTGCATCAACACGAACGCACTCGGAGACGAGACATAAGGATGCAAGCACAGTATCGTCCAGAATACCGAGTAGATCGAGCTCTCAGAATAACAGAGAAGGGGAAGAGAAAGAAGCAAAGAAAGCCAAGGAAGAAATAGAGAAGCGAGCAGCAAAGAAGGCGAGGCAGAAGTTGATTAAGTGGTGGGAGAAGGAGTACTGTGCGGGCAGGATGAGCTTGGCAGTAGTTGGTAGAGGTTTGTTTACTTCTCTATTATAGCTTCAGCTTGATCCTGATTCTGAGTAGAATCTCTCGACGACCTCACTCGCATGGTTGTGGAGTATTTCTCGCCTATCAATAATACCGGACGAGACCCTGCTCCATTTAAGTCTTTGGTGCAGCCGTACGGGAAAGAAGAGCTAGGTGTATGTTTCTCACAAATCTAGAAGATGCCAGCTTACAGTACATTACATTCTCTAGAAAATCGTCTACGTGAAAACAATCAAAGAAAGATATGAAATATCTATTTCATTTCCCCTCCCATGGCAGGATCCTTTTTGGCGAGAAAGCCCAACGCACTTCATTAGCCATTTACTTGGCCATGAAGGGCCAGGTTCATTGCATGCTTACTTGAAAAAGAAGGGATGGATTTCGGGGTTAATTGCGGGACCTATGGATCCTGATCGAGGGATCAGTGTGCTCAGGATAAAAATACTGCTGACAAAGGATGGATTCAGTGAGCATTATTTACAACTGTTCCGTGCTGCCGTGCCAATATTATCAATGCTCTTTTAGAGAACCAACAGAAAGTAATATTAACGTGCTTCAAATTCATCAATCTGCTGCGCAAATCCAGGTTCCCGGAATGGATGTCAAAGGAGTTGAGGAAAATTCAAGAGCTATCGTTTCGTTTTAAGGAGAAAGGCTTTGCACTTCCTCATGCAGAGGGAATTGCTACTGGACCAATGAAGCTTCCCGTTCCTCGTGCCCTTCTTCTGAATGGCCCCGTCCTATTATGGGACTGGAATGAGGAGCTTGTAAGCAATATACTGAAGGGATTAGATATCGAGAATTGCTACATTGTTGTAGCCGCAAAGAGTCATGATAACCTCAGTGGAACGACATGGCACAAGGAACAATGGTGCAAAGCAGAGTATGCCATGAGGCGGTTCGAATCCCGATTTATATCCGAGGTAGGTACGACTCTTTATAATTAGGGACCTATTAGACGATTACTTGTTATTCTAGGCTCGCAGAGACAACGATATTCCTGAGCTAACTTTGCCAGAACGCAACCCATTCATTCCAGAGAACTTTGATGTTGATAAAGTGCATGTTACAGAGCCACGGAAACGGCCTGCGCTTATCGAGCGCACGCCACTCATGGAAGTATGGCACAAGAAGGATGATCAATTCTGGGTTCCGAAGGCTAGTGTTAGGATTGCAGTACGAACGTAAGTCGGTTTAAATCCGTATTGTTCACATTATCAGCCATGTCCTTAACTCTCCTTAAAAACTGAGCAGACCTGCCGCCGCAACAAGCCCTCGTGCTTCCGCATTGACGAGTTTGTTCGTACAACTTGTGGAAGATGAGCTCAACGAATATTCCTACTTTGCCCTTGTTACAGGGTTAGGTTATAGTCTAAATGATACTGTCCGTGGTTTCGTAATATCACTCGGTGGCTACAACGACAAACTGCATATTCTTGCCACTGCTGTTCTTGACAAGATTAAAGGCCTCGAGATTCGAAAGGACAGGTTACAGGTTATGGTCGAACAAGTTGCGTTTCTCAAAACATACCTTTTTAAGTCCGATAACTCACTTTGAAAATTCCTGTTCAGGAGAAACGAGCTTTAGAGAATAGACGACTGGGACGTCCATATGGGCTAGCTCAGTATCACTTGGACTACCTCATGGACGACTATGTATATAAAACGAAAGAGGAATTAGAGGCAATAGAAGGTTTCTGCTCGTATCCTTTATGCATGAGGAAGTGTTTGCTGATTAAGGATAGATATTACTGTTGAGGAACTGTCTACACATGCGAAACTACTGTTGTCTCGAGTGAAACTTGTGATTCTCGTCACTGGAAACCTGGAGCGCAAGGTAGGTCATCGAGCCTGTCGAATTTGAAGTATTCTATGTTTATAGCCGTGTAGGATGCTATCAGTATTGCAACCGAAGTAAAGGAGACACTGGGAGCCAAGCCAGTTCCAGAAGGCGAACTAACGAAGATACGTATGCGACTGCTCCCTAAAGGTATGCATAGCGTGTTCTACAAATGTAATTTCTGATAGTAATTTAAACAGGGTGCAACTATATCTGGGAACTACCCGTACACAACAAAGACGAAGAAAACTCGAGCGTATCATATTACTGTCATGTTGGTAATTCGTCCGACCCACGCACTCGTGTGGCATGTCATCTTCTGGCCCAAATCTTGGACGAGCCATCGTTTGATGTTCTTCGAACGAAAGAACAACTTGGATATGCGGTTTTTTCTTATGCTCTTGAAGACGTCGAGATGATTGGGTGGTATGCGTTGATACAATCCGAGTCAGACACAAGATATCTTGAGTCACGCATTGAAGCATTCCTGAGGCATATGCGCAAGATACTCAAGGACATGTCAGATGAAAAGTTTGATAAGCATAAGCAATCGCTCGAGAAGGAGTGGACAGAGAAACTTAAGGTGCTTCCTCAGGAGACTGGAAGGTTCTGGGAGTCAATCCAGGACGGATATTACGATTTCCGACAAAATGAGAAAGACGCAAAACTCCTTCACGACATATCATTGCCAGAGGTCCGTGCAATGTTCAAAGAGTGCCTCGATCCCTCATCAAAAACACGCTCCAAGCTTTCCGTCCACATGCGTTCTCAAAAACCGCCTAAGCCTCCTAAAGTTCCGGCTAAGCCCAATGTCAGCATCCATGCTGCTCAGGAGTTCATGGGTTTACTAAAAAAAGAGGGGATTACTGTAGACGAAAAGCAGTACAAATCGGAGTGTGAAGACGAGTTCACACTGCCTGAAATGCAAGAATACTTAAAGGAGACATGCCTGAGTGAATTGCTGAAGAACAATGACACCAAAGTCCAGGAACTGATTGGGAGACTGAAGGCACTTGTGGAGAAGCACCCTGTAAAGCCTGCTCTGGAAGTGAAACATATCACTGATGGTGCCAAATTCCGACAGGGTCTTCAGCTTTCTGATGTTGCAAAGCCAGTCAAGAAGTTTGAAGTAGAGTAGTTTGAAAGCTACCTCCTTAGTCCGAGTCGCCTATACGAGACGGTCAAAGTGATATTAATAATAGATCACAATATTTATTTTATTTATTTATTTATTATTCGTGCGCGGCAAAAATAGAATGTTATTACAACCGCGGGAGTAGCTCGAGTGCTGTGGCTACCACCCGGCACCATCTCATTCTCGCTCTGCCCTGTACCCAGCACATTGCTACTTGTTGGCGGCAGCAAACAAGTAGCGAATGTACAGCTTCAAAGTCTTGCTACTATACCTAGGCATTACCTACAGTTCGTTCAAAAGGCTTTATGGGTGCCGTTCGTTGATTGGATTGATAAGCTAGCATGTCCACTGTTACATAATTGAGCAAGTTACTCAAGAACAATGTTAAGAGAGTCAGGGAATTGATTGAGAACCCGAAATTGCCTGGCGAGAGGTATCCTGTAGAACCCGTGCTAGAAAGCTGAACATATCCATGATGGTGCCAAATTCTGACAGAGTTGTGAACTTTCTATAGTTGCTGATGTTCGGTCCTGGACCTAATGGACCCGGGTCGACCCTAGGACCGAACCTGAGGTCCGAGTCTATTATGAGATGATTAGTTCATCAACGGACGAACCATGAGACAATGACTTCATAATGTCTCAGTTAGAATACATACAATATAAGGACGAGAGACACTGAGCAGTCAATCGTCACCTCACCCCTTGTCTATGTGTGCCCCCCTTAAGTTCTCCCTCTCAACAGGTTATGAGCCTTGAGCTCCCTGCATACATGCATCCACTGTACACTCTAAACTCTTTACTTGCATACATTTGCACACATTTGCATCATGGTTCCCCCACATACAGATACGTGCTGTAAACCAGCCAATGTACCTAAATACTTTGGTCAAAACATCACAATGCTTAAGACTGAAGTGAACTACAAGATGTGGCACTACTGCATTGTTTCTAGTGTTACAGCTATGTGCTTCGAACACTTACTAAAGGATGAACTGCAGAACAAAGCTGAGAGGGAGATGGCTAAGGCTATTCATACATGCATAGTCAATAACATTGCTGACACAATATTGGCAAACTATATACACTTTGATACGTCTATCCCTCAGTTAATGAAAGCACTTGAAGAATGCTTTAACCCCCAGACAGTATGTAAAAAGGCTATTGACAAATTGGCACTGTTTATTTGTAGAGACCATGTAAAACATTTCAGACATACATTAGACAGACTTGAGGAAGCATACACAACTCTGTCTGCTAACAGTGATCCACCACACAACTCTACATACAAAGCAGCAATATTGCTTGCTACTCCTGAGCAATATACACACATAGTAAATACAATAATACAATCTACTGATGCCCAAAACAAAGGCAAACCAGTCAATGAACATAAGAAAGTCAAACTGAAGCAACTAATCCTTACATTGCAGAATGCCTACAACAATTACTGTGCTAAACAAGCACAAGATTCCAATGATCAGACAAAGAATAATGCACACATTAATACAATGTATAAAGCCAATAAGCAGAGGAAATTCAATCTGCCAAATCTGTTCAATCCAACAAAGCAAATGTTTCAATTGTAGAAAAACAGGACATTT